TCACTCACTGTGTCAGCTAGTTATCCATGCGAATTGCTGCATCCCACTGTATGCTATGTCTTCTTATACGGAATCACATAAATACTCAGCTTATCCACACATCCGCTGTCGCCTGCGCCGTTGTCAAGCTGTTTTTATGTTTATGTCATCAGTAGGCTTCTCATGTCCGATTCGCGTTCTCTTTGCGCTCATTCATGCCAGGTTTCACGCTTTGTTTTTGGATTACAAAAGCCAATTGCTTTTTACTCCCTCCTCTAGGAATGACTGGCGTTTAGATATTTGGTCGATTGCTATCTACTTGCTTCGGTTGTTATGTTTTAATGTAACGAGGTTGACATTCCGTCGTTCACGACGTCGCGTCTTTGTCCCATAAATTCCTAGTTGTAGTTTAGACATGACGTACGTAACTCTTTCGTGGCCGCATGCTGATATTTATACACCATGTGTGTGTAGTTATGTCTAGTATAAGGTTTTTGGATTTCTTTTCGCGCTTTGCCGCTTCTTTGCTCTATTTTTGCGTATTGTAAAAATCACGTTTTGCTCATTTCAAGATTCAGCGTTGACGTACTATGGTTTGCACGTGTTTGTGTGTACATATATTTCAAGTGCATGCACAATTAGTATGTGCTGAAATGTGTCTCGTCAATAAGGTTGCTTTCGAATGTTCAAGTCTGTGGAGAAAGTTGAGGTTTCGAAATTAGTGAAGGCATGCTGATAAACTTAAAAGGATTGTTCATGTGTCTGCGAAAGTGGAAAAGTTGGCCGATCTGAAAATTTTGCTTTGAAACCCCAAGACGTAATGGTCCCGATGACCATCCCAAAAACAATTTTTTTTTTAAATATCCCAATATTTTAAAAATTTTGAAAACTAAAGTTGCACTTGGTTCATCAGCTCCGGTTCTCACATTGTATCCCAAATGATTGTTTCACCTAACCTTGATAATACTACATATTAATACATAGTCTTTCAGACCATTTTTCAGGCTGTCTTGTATTTCTAAATCTCTTTTCTTCTACTACGCGGTGACAGGGTGATCTAGCCTCATCAGTTAGATGTTGCTCAGAGTTTGTAAAGAAGTATAGAGGCTGCGAATTTTTGGCTTCGATTTCTTTATTTAATTCCACTCTTATCTCTTTGCTTCAGTTATTCGAGATGACATTATTTGACAGCTCGTTACGGCCATGTTTGTTACGGAGTTGTGACAAATTTTGTCAATGTGTCAATAGCAAACCTTGCTATTTCATCATGTCACGTTTCACTTCGAGACTGCGCTTGGAAATTGTCCGAGATTATTACCCAAATTCACATTCTCCGAAAAATTCACAATTTCACGTTCATCGAAAAATTATATTCTTAGATAAAATCTATTTCCGGTTTACTGGCTTTGTCAACACATAATATTATCATTATTGGTGTGACTCAAATCCTCGTGTGATTTCGGAAACACAATTTCATCGGTAAAAATTGATCTTTTGATGCGGATTATAGTATGACGACATATTCTGACCTTATTTCTGTTGAAATGAGTGAGTGAGTGTTATAACCCGATGTTGACCGACTTTTTCCACGGAATATGGAGAAATCGACCCAAATGATCTCTATTTCCAAGAAGACAGTAAGTCATCTTATGTTTCACGCCTAAACATGGAAGCATTGCGTGTAAAGTTTGACGACTCTTAAATTTCTAGCAATGGCCCTGCCATTGGGTCATGCGCCTTATATGCTTACAGATTATGTTCTATGGGGTATGTTAATTTAAAGGCTTACGCCATTACCCAACAACGCTACAGGAACTTGAAGGCAACATTTAGCGCTCTGTACCCGAAATGTGGCACCGAGTCATTCAAAATTGACGTACACAGGTAGATATATGCAAACGAAGCCGTTCTGGTCAGACATGTCTCATTATTATCCAAATCCTATGTGCCATAAAAATATCTGCACAACATAAAAAGAACCCATTTTCAAGTTGGTAGATCCTTTACATACGTACTAAAGAGTTTTACTACTCCATTTCCTCTTCAGGGTAAATGTAATAATCCATCGAAATCAAATGATTCCCTAAAGAGTTTTTTATAACGGTTTAAACATTTTTTCCCCTCCGGTTCACCTTAGGACCCTTAATCGGTTCAGAGACGCCCTAAGACTTGTGTTGAAAGGATAAAACCAATCACATTAAGCTAACAGGTGCAACCCAGACATTAAGAAAACGGTCTTTAACCGCATAAAAACGTACTAATGAACATTTTACTTCCGGGTTCAATAAAATATAGGGAAATAGCTAAATTTCACCATTAACTCCAAAACAGCCTGAACACAAAAGCCTTTTCATGCCAAACTGACAAATTAACGTCGAACCGAAATAAAACACAACTCTCTTATTTCGACAGCAAGTCATTGTCCTTCCTGTTTACCGCAGCGACTATTTGTTTTTGGCGCGATTACTCAAGCAGTCCGCCATAGCGTGTTCCTCTTGCTTTGGCCAGTGCCTCTATGCGGAACATACATATTGTTTTTGTTGTTATTTTCAAGTATTCCAACGAATTGCTAAAAAGTGAAATTTACTTTTTTCTTACACCTATGGCAGACGCGTATGCGATTTGTTGCTCTTGCCTATTATTTTACCTATTTTCCTATTAAGATTTTATGTTCATTTCGTGGTTCGACAACAGCACATTTGTTAGTTTGCGTGTGTTTTTGTTATGCACAATTCTCGTTGTTCCTGTATTTTGTATTGAAATTTCATTCAAGTTTTGTGTTTGCTGCCGCCGCTGCTTAGCTTCGCCGACTGCTACGCTCCGTTGAGCGAGAGTAAAGAGGAGGTGTACTCATTGTCTATTTATTGTTAATCACATATTGATGTTATGGCAAGTGCCAGCCCACAGCTGTAGTGGCGATTCGTGCTCAATGGTAGCTGCACGAAGCGCAATTTTTATACCCAACACTATATGATCCCTTGAGCATCATGTACATATTCGTGACGCCAAAAGTTGTTTGGTATAGCATCACTGATCGCAAATATATGATGGTACAGCACTAGAGGGACCAGTGTAAAGCAAAGTGAATTATAAAAAAGTTTTAATAAAATATACAAAATCTAAGCCTACTCTACCTTTTTCTACTTTTGTCAACTTTTCAAATGTTTAAAAATTGTTTGTAAATAACGTAACATTAAGTCTCGTCTGGCTATATGTATTCTCGATTATAGCTCTCATTCGCCTAAATTATATCCCTACATCGGCCAAATTCTTCCGAGGAAAAGTCCTGGGGTCCTGGCTATGAACATGGATTAGAAAGAAAACTACGACTTGATTCTTGGTTGGTATTTTTTCGATGACTATCTACTTCACTTCACGTTCGATATTCGTATAAAGTTCATCAATCGTCGCTGGCTTGTTGGCATAGACCATTGACTTGACGTAGCTCTGCAGGAAATAGTCTAACAGCGTCAAATCGCATGACCGAGGCGGTCAATTGGTTGGGCCATTTCGTAAGATAACACGTTCACCAAACTTGGCTTTCAATAAGTCGATTGTGACACTGTGACGCTGTGTGGCTTGTGTCGCCGTCCTGTTGGAGCCACATATTCCAAGTCCAGTCCAAGTCCATATCATCCAATTCGGATCAAAAATATTAGGTGATCAATGAGTGATAGCGATTCCCATTCACAGTAAAGTCAATGACAACAAACCGTAATTTTTTCGGGATGCAGCGGTGACTCATGGAATACGTGTGGATTGCTTCCTGAAATGAGTCTCTTCGCTGAAATGATTTTTCGATGAAAATCCGGATAATTTCCAAATTGTTGCTCAGCCCAATTCACTATACGTGCAATTGTTGATATGATGATCATAAATTGGACGTGGCGCTCTTAAAGTTGTGGCCACTGACTCCGAATTTCGGTAGTAAATAGTTTTCGACTCGTTGTTGGACCTTATATCTTTCCATGATGAAACCCGTTCCTTTCAGATCACCTACCACCGACATATTTACTTATTATATACCCATATTATGTAAGACAATTGGTGAAATTTTATCAGCATTTCGTATTATGTATGGCCACTGACCTCAGTAAGTCCAAAAGCATAAGCAAGATTCATTATTTTGCGTTTTTGAGCAATACTATTCATAGTGCTTTGTAACATTGGTCAATATTTAGGTGCAAGATTGGCTATCGGCTACTAAACTCGTACTAGTAGCCATACATAATAGGAGTGTAAATTTCACTGCCCTCGCGAGTATTTGATATTTACGAAACGCAAACCTATGAGAGTGCGGATCGAACAAACAATTATCATATTTGACCTAAAGATATAAAGATAGCTCAAGTTAAATGAGCAGATAAGTGATGAATCGAAAGGGACCACAAACAAAAACAAAAAAATACTAGTATATACATATGTGAGACATTTAATAAAAATTTAATTGAACATCAGGAATCTAAGTGAACAAAAATAAGCTAATATTGTGCAGATTCTAGAAGGGTTCTTCCAACAGAATAACGTTAAAAAAGCGCGAAAAGACACTACAGTCGTCCAGTAAGGTTTAACCAGTATTTTTGGGATTTTCGTGGCACTATTTTCATAACTATATTGAATATAGTAAAACAGTCAATAAACAATATTACTGAACTATTACTATCTTAGTTTGCAAAACTAAAGAGACCATCCGGTTTTGCGTTAATTATATACCCCCCTATATTTCGCTTGTGTTGTTATTTCTGTAGTTGATGCGATTTTATTTACGTTTTGTTTATATGGGCGCGCGCAATACTTTTGTTGATATTTATTTCAATTCGGTATAGAGAGCTGCTGCGTCGCTCTTGTCAACGATGACCACTGGCTGCTGAGCAGGCACAGCAGAAAGCTAGTGCAGCTGTTGACAAAAGCAAAGTGGCGCACCAGCGCTGATTGACCGCCTGACTGCTCACGTAAGGCCTGTGTTGGCTGTCTAGCGGGTTCACTCTTGACTGACTGCCGAGCTGTTGGCCTCTTGTTGTTGTGTGTTTGTTGTGCTTGGCTCTCGCCACGTTTGTTGTAGTCAGCAGCATATAGTATTTCGCATATCCGTCTTCGTCTTTTGAATGTCGGATGGCTAACAGCCGCCAGCCGTGGCTTTCATAGCTCAGTGCGCTTCCTAACTTGAAGGTAACACACCGCCAAGCACGCGCAACGCGGCATCGCACGAACAACATCAACTTACGGAACGGAACGTACGATGTCGACGATGTCAACGACGAGTGCTCGTATTTATTTGCAAAGTTACACGTATCCACATATTTGCAGTATCTGATTGCCTTGTTATCTCATTGTCTCGTTGTCGCGCGGTTTTGGTGTCGTGAACAAAAGCAGTGCATCGCAGCGCTTGAACAAAAGACCAACCAAAAATGGCAAGAACCTAAGCGAGTTGTGCGAAGTATATGCCTGGCAGTGAAATATTCTTGAAATATAATATAATATATGCATAGAGACGAGTTGCAAAAGTTTTGTGAGTTCTGTGAGTTCTGTGAAGCTGTGCAAAGTGTGCAAAGTGTTTGTCGTACGAAAAAAGTGTATCCCCATATCAAAGCAGCGCTTAACTAACTTAACTTGTAAATGCATCAAAGCAACAGTTGCCGTCTGCTCGCCTTAGCCTCAATGATAACGTGTTGCTAATTACCTCAAATCTCATCAGCAGCGAACCACGACGACGACGACAGCAGCGGTGTTGAAACAAAAGCAACGCTTGCGGGCAAGCAAAGAAAACAAAAGCCCGGCCAAGCCAAATCAAGCCAAGTCAGTCAGTCAGTCAGCCAGCCCACGGGCCCGCCACCCAACCAGCTGGCAGCGTCAACCAGCGAGCGTGTTAACTTAATTATTTAACATTAGCTCAAAGCAAATTAGCGCAGCATCAGCGTTGCAGTCTTGTTGACTGCGGCCATAGCGGAGGCAGCAGCAGCCAGTCACAGGCATTTCGCGTCAACGTCGTGCCAATGCAACTTCACCATTTTCACAAATGGGCCACTCAACCTAAATTTTAACCAGACTTTGTTTACATATATACTCACATACATACACACGCGTACATACGCTTACATATTGGCCAAATTAGTTTTTGTTGCGTATGGTGCTGTGACTTTGCCTAAGGCTTTCCAAAATTTTCGGTGCTTGTCAGCTTCCTCATATTTGTTGTTTGTGACTGTGCTTATAGACGCCTTTCATACACACACACACGCGCAACTATATAAGCACTAATTACATCTTAGTGGCGGCAATCATTTATGGTTCATTTCAACGCTGCTGCCGCAAACCGTTTGTTATGCAATGCCGCACTTCGATGAGTCGTTCGTCAGCGATTGTTCATATGCCGAGAGCCAACATGTTATCTCGTACTCATTGGATCGTGGCATGAAACTCTACCAGAGGCGCAAATTGAAATCGCCAAAATTTTTCTATACGCCCTATCGACCGCGTGTGGTCGTGAAGAATGTCATTCAGTGTAAGTACAAGTTGGAGTGTTTTGGTTTATGGTTTGCATCTGCTTACTAGTGTCTGTGCGGTTTAAGCTGCAAAAAAGTGCTTTAGAATGTGTGCTTTCCGGGTACACGTATTTAGAAGTGGTTGTACTTGTTGAGCCGGTTTCACTTTTAAATATTATCCGCAGTTTTTTTTTTTGATTTTCACGAAGTGTAGTTTTTTGAAACAAATTATACCGTGTACAGAGTATATTAAGTTTGTCACGAAGCTTTTAACATCCATAATGAAACATCAGATACCGTATATCTGAGCTACCTGACCAGCCGAGTCGATTTAGCCATATTCATCCGTCCCTCAGATTTTGAGATATCGATCTGAAATTTTACACACGCTCTTTTTTCCACAAGAAGCGTCTCATTTATCATACCCCCATGGCATATTGCTGCCATATAAACTGAACAATCGGAGTCAAGTGCTTGTAAGGAAACTTTTGTATTTGTGAAGTGTAACATAGCTTCAGTGCAGCTAAAGTTAACGTTTTTTTCGTGTTTATTTGACAAATTATCTTCACAAAATTTAGATTATTTTCCAAGATAAGACGATGTTCTCCGAACAAGTTGTGCAGATCGAACCATCATCTGTGTTTTCGAAACCTTACTTACCTCATCAGTCGATGAATACCATTGTCCGAGTTTTGCGAGACCTGTTATTACATATGAACCTCTATTCTATAAACTTCCCAGCAGGGACTTTTAAACAATCGATATCGAAGACAAAAACTCTCTTATTTCATATACAGTGTTCTTTCTGTCTAAAGGGTGATCCAATTCGAGTTTCTCTACTTTGTTTAATGGAAAAACAAAAAATCTTCAAATTTAATAGGGAATATTTATTAGCATTCGAAAGAACATATAGTCCATCTATTAAGTCCATTTTTCGTTGGCTCTTTCGAGCATTTCGACTGATAACTGGCGTATGCCACGCGAATGATGTTTTGCTCCAAGGCCTGAATCGAAGCGGGATTGTCCGCATAGACTATAGACTTAATAAATCGGCACAGGAAAAGGTCTAAAGTCTGATATCACACTATCTTGCTGGCAAATCGACCGGGACAAAACGTGATATTATCTGCCCTCCGAAGTGTTCTCTTAATAAATCCATTGAGTGGCGCCGCCTTATTGAAATCAAATTTCGCCGAGATCACGAGCTTCAATTTCAGGCATCAAATAGTAGGGTAACATGGCGCGATAACGGTCGCTATTGACGATTATGTTCTAACAGGCATCATTTTTGAAAAAATATGGACCGATGATTCCATCGATCCACAACCCACACCAAACTATTTTCTCTGTAAAAAATGGTCCGTCTTTAATCTATTCAGGTTGCTCTTCGTCCCAAATGCGATATTTTCGCTTTTTTACATACATATATACATATTGAGCCAGAAATGGGCTTCAACGCTGAACAAAATTTGACTCGAAAACGTCAGATTTCTTGGAACTTTTCAAAAGCCCATTTAGTGAAGCGGTGTAATTTGGGAAGGTCGAGCGGCTTCAGTTAAAGATTTCGACGTAAAATGCACAAAGTTGTTCCATACGTCAGTCAAAGTTGTTGTAAACGGCGTCTAATCGACTCTCCACGGTCTGAGTGTACACTCTCAAGTGCGGCTGCTATATTTTCTTCACTGCCGATTATGTTGACCATAAGTTGAGCGAAGCGCGTGAATTTGCGTAATAACGTTAAACAATTACTACTTTATTTACTAACGATTTTTCTTCGTAAATAGTTCTGAAATGAAGTTCGCTTAGGTGAACTTGTCAAATTTAATTACCTGTGAAATAATACTATATATGCTAGATCAATTTGGTTTGGCGCAGATCACTTGGTTTGCAAATCTTCTAAAAAATATCTTTGCCCCAACCTATAACTCTCCATATAACTAATCTTTATCTCTATAATTTTCTCCTTGCAGACAGTGCCATCAGTTCTCCATCCACACCCAACTCCTCGCTTTCTTCACAATCGAATCTTGTTTGTGCTGGTGGTGGTACGCCATCGCCGAACACACCATCCCCCGCCACACCCACTTCTCAACAATCCGCCAACACACCGCTGAGCGGCAACAGTGCGATATATCAAGTACCAGGCGCCGGTTACGGTGTCTCAACGTCCGGTCATAAGAACAGTTTAAAGGGTACGAAATTGGCGCGTAGAGCGCGCTCTTTCAAAGACGATCTAATAGAGAAAATTTCCATGATTCGCACACCAAACAATACGCTGGGAAGGTAAGGGTCGAACGGATGTTCCATTATTACATTTTATTTGAGTACCGTTAACATTTGTATTTTTTATCTGACAGATCCCATTCCCCGCACAGTCCACGTAGCAAGTCCATGAAACCGCCAACGACCGCTGAAGAGTTAGCCGCGGCTGAGAGTCCACTGCAGACGCATGTCAAAGATATTTCGAATGCGCTGAAACATTTTCGCGATGTGATAATCAGAGCAAAACTGGAAGTTCTGCCGGGCAATGCAACTGTTATACTCGAGACAATCGCCAGCATGTACACCGTTATACAGTCGTATGCGTTGGATAAGCACAGCAATGTACTTCTGTCGGCGACACAACAAGTATATAAGTCGCTGGGTAAATTAGTGAAGCTTTGCGACGAGGTAATGCTTATCTATGCAGCGCGGCGGATCGACGACGAAGGTGTCGAAGATAATCTGCAAGACGAGCATCAACAACTGAAAGCGCTGCTCAGCGAAGATAATGTAAAGGAGATTGTTGATTTACTTGGTGAGGCAGTGCGGGTAAGTGCGCCTAAAGAACCTGCTGTGCATTTGCATATACAATTATATATGTACATATATATTTGAGAGTGTGTGTGTGGACATGAGCAAAAGCTTGTTCAGTGGCGATCACGTTGTTCATCGCTCAGCTGTGCGGTGCGCAAAAATGTCGTTGCAAACTAAACAAAGCAAAAATCACAAAATTAAAAAAAAACAAGAACAATTTAAATAAAACAAACACATAATGAATCAGCGCCCTGCGATTGACTATACATTTCTGCCACCGACTGCAGTTTCTTACGCCGCTAATGCGGCCGCTGTCTGATTCAGCGTTAAAAATAGCGCGAAAGAGAGCGAATTAGCGTGAAAGCAAGCAAGGCGTGATGTATTTAAAAAGTATAAACTTAAGAAGAAAAAAAAAGTTTTTTATAAACATATTAATGTAAAGGTTCAGGGTCATGTAGAGATGAGTTCAAATTACCGGTTGAATGTGTTGGTTGCTTATCTGTTTAGCTCAATTGACACTAATTAATTGCAAAGTCGTTTTGTTTATACATTTGCTCATATGTCATTTTTCTTCCACTTGTTCTACAGAATTTGGCGACGCTTGCGCATCAGAAACTGAAGGAGCGCGAGGAGAACGCTTTGAAGTATGCACCAGACAATGCCGTCGCCCCTGCATTGGCTAACAATGGCGCAGCCGTATCGCTCAATCATCTAATGCATCTGCCGGAAGTGGCTGGCCAACGTACATCGCTGCCTGACATAACGCTAACACCGAAGTAGGTCCAACAAATGTTTAACGCTTTTAAATAACCTATATTTATAGCGTTTGTTTTACTTTGCACTTGTAATGACTTTTCATATTTTTGAGACTTTAGTTTGAGAGTTTCTGGTAATGGAAATTTACTGTTTTTATAAACTTTTACGAAATTTTTTCCCGGCTTCTTCTTCTTTACTGGCGTAGAAACCGCTTATGAGGTTACAGCCGAGTTAACAACAGCGCGCCAGTCGTTTCTTCTTCTCGCAAGGTGGCACCTATTGGAGATTCCATGCGAAGCCAGGTCCTTCTTCACCTGGTCTTTCCTCTTCCTCTGCTTCCCCGGCGGGTACTGCGTCGAATACTTTCAKAGYTGGAGTATTTTCGTCCATTCGGACGACATGACCTAGCCAGCGTAGCCACTGTCTTTTAATTCGCTGAACTGTGTCAATGTCGTCGTATATCATATTGCTCATAGTTTCCTCTCATCCGAGGCTGTTTACATTTTTACATTGGGGGCGTTTTTTTTGCTGGAACTTTCCTCACTTGCGTGAACGCGGTACCCGCCGGGGGAAGCAGCAAAATGTCTCCGACGTTCTTTTTATGTCCTGAACAGTTGCTAAAAATTTTTTAAACATAAGAGGAAATGTCAGAGCCCTTAAGTGACGTCAGTATGTCCCTCAGTTGCTATACGCCCCAACTTCTTGGTCTTTATTTACACCTAACTTCTTTTTTTTTTATATTCCACTATATAAAATCCATTGATACTGGATATTATTATAAATAAAATACTTAACTTTGCAGGGAACGTGATATTTTAGAGAAGACCAACTCGAATCCCATACGCGCTTCACACAGTACCGAGAGCATTTTGCGCGACACTAGCCCTCCACCTAAACCACCGCTACCGAACAGGTTAGAAACTAAACCGAACCTACAAATAACTTAACTGTAAATATAAATATGTGATATCCCTACATTTTTCTAGGCCACCACCGCTGCCACCGAAGCGCCGCAATCAACAGCAACAACCAAGTCTAAACAATAAGAGCATTAACTCGGATTTCGACTGGAGTTCGGACATTTCACTGGGCAACTATGGCGCTGATTAGTAAGTGGACATTTTTGTAAACATGTCTTGAAACAGCTCGCTAATTATACCATTTCCAATTTTCTCGTTAAGTATCAGCAATCTGTCGGTACACTCACACTCGCCGGATGAAAATTCTAGTCAATGTTCGCTCGATTCCGAGCTAAATCATTCACGCGAAGAGGAGGAACTCAAGTCACTGGGTTTGGGCAATCGCTACAATGACAGCCTGCTTGATAATGATGTTGATAAATTAAATATATTAAGTAAGTTTGATCAATATACATATAGTGTCTATGCAAAATGCGAAACAAAACACAGAAAACCGTTTACTAACCAAATAATTAGTTTAAAACTATAAATATATAAACAAAACACAAATCTTATATACAGAACCACTAGTAAGCGGTGGCAAGCGTGTTACGTTGAACAATAAAGTGGCATGCAACAAAGTAATTGGCAGTGGCAATGAAACCACCAACACTACCATTGTCACACAAACACAAAACATAGCGACGGAGAATACCAAACGGCGTGCTATCGTCACCAGTTCAGTGGCTAGTGATGGCGCGGATGAGTGTGATTTTATTTTGCAAAGTGGCAACGGTAATAATGGCGCTGGTGGCAGCGCTTTGGACAAACTGGAAATGCGCAAAAATACTAACAATCGTCATTCCAATGAATCGGGTACTTAAAGCATATCAATTATACATATCTATGCCTTCATTGCATTACAGCGTATCATTCTAATATTTTGCGAATTTTTCTGTTGTCACTAACTTTGCGACGTTGTTTTGTTGTTTTGTTTTGTTGTCTTTTTAATACACATACATACATATTCGTATATATGTAGCATGCCTCGTACCATGGAAAATCGTTTTGTTGTTTGTTATTGTATTTTTTGTTGTTATAGTTCAAATTTGTTTTTAATTGTTTAATTAATTTGAAATACTATTTATAATTTTGCGATCAATCATATATTTTATTTATTATTTTTAATTAGAACTCTAACTATTTGTATGTATATTATAATATATGCCCATTGTCCTTATACACGTAAACACCAGCATAACCCCCTCAATTAAATTTTCCGCTGCATTTTTGCATTTTGCCCTTACAGGCTTCGTTTCTATGACATCGGTGCGCACATCGGCACAGAGTGTATCCAAACGTTCATCCGATTGTGGTTTTCAATCGTCCACCAAGTCCAGTTCGAACTCGGAAATTGCATTCGATGCCATTGAATCGTCGAGTAGTGGTGAATTTCATACGCAAGCGCAGGAGTTTCACCAGCACACAACCAGTTCGACCATGACGAGCACCATGTCATCGACAATGATGGCCACATCGACTAGCATACTAAATAATATGTCTACATTGTCGCATGAGGCACGTTCGATTAGCAATACCAGCAGCATCAGTCCCGATCACTATGAAAGTAGCGGTCTCTTGACCGAACGCTCAATGCATACCAGCAGTACTAGTCACGTCACACAATCGTCATTTTCATCGCTGGCAAAGGCTAGTAGTTTGGATACAGCTTCATCATCGGATGGCATGGGCTCCCACAATGATTTAGTGCCACCTGCATTGCCGCCAAAAACTAGTCGGAACAAAGATGCGCGCATATTTTCGCAATATGATAACTTCGATGAAATCGACGATCATAATGGGTAAGTGGAGTGTATATAATGTAGAATGCGAAACTTATGTTTAGGTAGAAGAATGACAGACACAGAGTTTACGAAAATTTCGTTCCGTTACCTTTTGGTAAAAAAAAAACATTAGTTCGTGACGACATGAATGAAATGGAAGAAGGCTTTGTTTACAATTTTTAAAACGAAAGTTTAAATGTTCGTTTTAATGAAGACGTGGCCGCTTTCAATTTTATACCTGGATCACTATATATTAAGTCTGCTAAGAAGTTTGTAACACAACATGCCGATGTCGGACCACTATAGTATACACACTATTTTTTACTTGAAAAGATATCTTTCCGAAATTCGGCATAGAAACGAGACAATGTCCGAGACAATGCTACAACCTTTAAACATATTGTTTAAATCGGACCACTATATGCTATTTGTCTTATGTACAAACTAACCTATCAAAATAAAGTCCTTATACGGAAAACTTTTTTATTTGGGAAGATATGTATCGCAATATTTATATATATATATTGTTGTTGTTGTAGCGGCAGAAACCTGCCGAGTTGACAGCCCTTGGCCGGATAAAATTCCAAGTCCGTGCCAGTCACGTAGAACCGACTATTGTGGGAACGAGATATCTTCAAGTCCAACATAACACTACAATTTGCGAACCTCCGATCTGAGCAGTGGGCCCACATACATATATGTAGCGGTCATACAAACTGATCGATTAGAATTGAGTTCTTCCATGGAAAAAATTTTTATTTATGAACTGTATTACAGCTTCAGTGCAACCGAATTTAACATTTTCGCATGATTGCGATAACGGTATTAAAAATTGGTTAACGCTTTGAATTTTTAAAGTCAGACTCATTTTGCCATCGACGAAAGTGTTATATTTTGTTAGGAAAACTTTGGATTTAAACTTCCAAACTAATTATGAATATTCTCTAAACTTTTAGCGAAATACCCGAACTCCGCCCTCATCATCATACCCACTACAGCAGTTACAGCCAACATAATCACCATTTCCATCATAATCACTATCAACATCACGTGGCACCGTGGCATCAAACGAAACATCAAAGTCTACTAGACTCAAGACACTTAGTTAGCGGCTTTGTCAGCAGTTGCACGAGTATTGGCGATCTGGAGCAACCACCACCGCTACCGGTGAAGAAAAAGCACAGTAAGTTCAATCACACGGCACACACAGTTAATTTATATTTTCGTATTTTTTCTCTTCTGTTTTCTTTTTTCTATTTTTTCACTAATTTATATTTACGTCACATATTGCGTTCGGTCTTTGCACACGTACATATGTAATTATTATTGTTTTTGTGTAATTTGTTTGTGTATTATTTGTGAAAATATACAACAACCATACGCACCTAAAAATACAAACATACCCATATATACATACATATATTTATTTAATAATGTTTTCTGCGTACGCCCACACACGCCAACAAAACCAACCACATTGTTTGTTGTCATGGTAATCACCGTTTTCCTGGTGCCATTTGACGGCGTTGGTCCATTCACTTTCACCTTCGCACACAATTTACATACTTGCATACATACCGACATACATGTACCGTTGATTTTTGTTTGTGTCTCATTAAACCAAAAAAAAAAAAAACACGTAATTGTGTTAAAATTACTTGAACTTAATTTAAAATCATTTACTTACCTCCTTTGTTTTTGGAATTAAAATTTTAATTTCAATGAACTTTTTCGAAAATAGTATTTATCATAAGTCGTTCGCATTCAAATTCAAACGCAACACACAAAAATACCAAACAACAACAACTCCAACAAGTCAAGCGACAACTTGTACAACCCAAAATAGTACAATAACGCTTACAGAATCAACACAACCGCCAACTACTTCCGCATTTTCCACTACACTTCCGTTACACAGTAACAGAAGTCGTAGCAATTCTCAAACACAAATATATCACAATATCAATAACTGTACTGCCATACACAGTAGTAATCCAAATGACTTGCTTTGTAGTAGCAAACAAAAATACACACAAACGAGTACCGAAGCTGACCGAACAGAAAAAGCAACAGCTACAGCAACAACACCAACAACAATTATCAATAAACATTATTATGAGCATAATAATTATAATGTTAATAATAAATGTAATATTGTCTTGCGAAAAACACTAACCCAAATGAATTGTTCTAACGATTTAGTGTTTCAAAGTGTGGCCTTCTCGGGTAAGTTGGACTGCCTGCCTGTGTTCTACTCCACTCCAGTCTCTTATATTAGCGAACAAATTGTTGTTTTGCCTTTAGCGCAATTGGCAATTCATTTACATATATTTGATTGCAAAATTGAATTTTTATTGTTATTGCTTTATGTGTTACATACATACATATGTATATGTACAAAATGTGCTTAGGTACATGCATATATGTATGTATGTATTAAATGAATGTTGAAGAGTTGAAATTTCAAACCAAAGTTATTTATTTGATTGAATGTGTGTTCTTCTCTCGTTGCTCATTAATCACTCATTGATTGATTTCTACTAGAGAATGCATTTATGTTTTATGCGCTTCTTATTTGCTTTCTCACACTTGATCTCTCTGCTTTGAAACGCAATATAAGCACTAAAAAATGGGTGCTCATTTAGGATATTAGGAGATATGTGTTTAGTTATAACCTAATATGTTTGAATATTTGAAATTTCGAAATAAAATATCTTCTGAAGCGTAAATTTAGGTTTTTTATTAATTGAAGTTTATCATTTCTTTTTCCAAAACTGTTTTGAAATATAATTTTCAGTTACAATATTCCCATTTTTATAACCTTACCAATTCAGAAATTCAAATTTCAAGTTTTACTTTCGAAATTGTTAATATTTTTTGTAAATTTCTCTTGAATAATACAAATTTCGGTCGCTCCTCCCATAAGGATTATAAATTTATAATTTTTATTTACAGGCTATACAGATTTTTTTGAAAGTTGATTCTCTAGGTGGATTTCTTAAAAATTTAAAGGTTTCCTCGGGTAAAAAACAGACTTTTTTCAACACACACTATTAAAACAGAAATTCTGAAATTTTTGGAAAGATACTTGAAATTTGAAACTCGGCCATTGCGATGCCATTCCCGGTGACTCATTAGAAAAAAATGCGCATGCGTTTTGAAAAAAAAAACTTATTTTAGTTAAAAACTTAACTTAGAACTTGGACGAAGAAAAAACTGAAAGTTATACTTTTGAACTTTTTTACAAAACAATTAAAATTACAGTGAATTTTCGGGAATCTTTTTTTTTATCGAAAAAAATTCTTCGCTCAGGTATTTAAGAATAAAATATCTGTGTAAAATTGCATGAAAAACAGTTGAATCGGTTCTCCAAAAATATTGCCCATCTAGCCTTGGTAGCCTCGTGTACACAAGTTTCCAAGGCTGTATCTCTGAAACTATTACTCGGATCAACACTTAGAACAATATTCTAGATCTGTTATAGAATTTATTCTGTCTCTTATACACATCTAGATGTGTATAAGAGACAGAATTCTTCGCTCAGGTATTTAAGAATAAAATATCTGTGTAAAATTGCATGAAAAACAGTTGAATCGGTTCTCCAAAAATATTGCCCATCTAGCCTTGGTAGCCTCGTGTACACAAGTTTCCAAGGCTGTATCTCTGAAACTATTACTCGGATCAACACTTAGAACAATATTCTAGATCTGTTATAGAATTTAATAAGACAATAAAAAAATCGATGTTTTGAAACCCATCAACCCTTTAAACTCCTTTAATATAATAATTAAAAAACACTTTCTATCATTAAAGGCCTTTTTTGAGTAAAAAAAATAAATCGTCAATTTTGTTGGGAAAAACTCGAGAAGTACTAGTTTAAAAGTTTCTTTTTTTTTAGCTAAGAAATCCTTTATTTATAAAATATCTTAAATCAATCATATATCATCGAAATAGGTTTTATTTTTAAATTCTTTATTCTTGATATAACAAAATACCGAGTGACTTTAAAATTTAAAAAGAAATTAAAACATTAGAAAAATTTAGACCGAGTTATTGTTTTTTATATTGTCGTCTCTAATATTATATCTAATTTGTGGGACACTTTTCAAACAAAATTGCTCTTTGTAATGATTTTTTCATAAATTTCCATTTTTGATAACCAAACATAACCTTAAAATGTATGTACAAATTTCAAATTAAAAATTAAAAAAAAATTCAAAGGCTTTGGTTTTTTATTTTTTGCAAAAAAAAAAAGTTTCTCAAAATTTCGGGTTAATAGCTTAGTTTTGTCCCAAAAATACTAATTCAAATATTAATTTTTCACCCCATTTTTACTTAATGTCGAGAAAATTTCAACATTTCATTCAAAAATACTCACGTCTAAGTAGCTGCGCTTTAAAAAAATTCGGAAGGCTTTTATTCTCTGAAATCCCTACTTTGGTCTGAAAAAATTGCATTGCTATATAATTACTTATATCTAAGAAAACTTAAAATTTTATATTTATTTCGAATTTTAAATTTGGGTTAAAATTTTTAAATCGTTTTTTGACGTTTACCTATAAAAAAAGTCTATCTTCTTTATTTAAAGTTCAGTAATTACTTTACGATTAATTTCAAAAACTTAGACACCCATTTATATGTATGTATCTTCAAACTTGTTCCAACTTAAAACTGCCTATTTTGAATTTTGTTACTACACAACATTGTGTTGATTGTTTCGTTGCGCGAATTGCTTCCAATACATCTATGCCGTTTTGCGCATGCGTTTGAATTTTTACAAAATTTTTAAATTTTTTTTTACAAATCTACAGTAGTCAGCGCTAATGGCTCAGCGAAGTGCATTTGAAGTTTGTTTTTTTCGATTCTTTTATAAATGTAAAGCTTTGAAGCTCAGTTGCGTCTATTAAAATATCAAAATCATTTTGCCTTCTTCATTTGTAGCAGTGTTTCTTTGTCTCCCATCTGCCAATATATCCATAAAAGTCATTTGTTTCAAACAATGCTTGAATTCTCCAAAATGTGTTTATCGTTAACTGCCATTCACCGCTTTCGATTTCTTATAAATTATATAACATTTACATATTAGTTGCAAAAGTTATTTAATATTTAATTTTCAACAGTTTTCGCATACATGGAGCTGTGTCAGGGTCCCCATCGACCCTTCGATCGTCATACGATGCATGTGCAGGATCTAACGGGGAACATTACGCACAGTCAGACAATGAAGTAAGTACAACATAAGCAATTCTCCAATAAATTTTGGCATAATTGAAAGTAATAAATGTATTTTTTGCAGCATTGTGCCACTACCAAAGGACTTATCGCCACCCTCGGAGCAGGAAAGGCCGCCCGCACTCCCACCAAAGAACTACAAACAGCAGCGCAAGTCCAGCGCTACACCGCCCACCATAATTACAACGCCACCACCTAGTCCAAAACCTACACATTTGAGTGCTAGTGCCGATGCGGAGAATGGCCGTCCAGCGCGCGTTATATCCGCCACACAGGGTAGTGAAATGATGTCCACCGTGTGTGAGGAGCTTGGCGATCTAACCGAAGAGGAACAAGCGTCACTCCGTCACTCTCACCAGCTGCCCAATGAGAATTGTCACGACAATCATGTAACAAGTAGGCATTCACCACTACGTCGCGCCGACACGCATGAGGGTACGCCCGGCAGCAGGTCTGAGAGCGCTGGTGAAGATCAATTATTGCAGAACAATAGCTTTAGTGATGATAAGGTGGGCGAAATGTAATTTATACAAAATAAAAAAATATATATAACTATTTCACATTTACTGTATAGTGTGGTGAGTTGCAGACGGTGCCACAGGATGAATTGCCAAAAATGCTAGAAGAAATTGATGTTACCAAGTATTTGGTGCTCAAGCGTAAGGATGAAGATGGACCGGATATAAAGGGCGGCTATATTGATGCATTGATTGTGCATGCTAGCCGCGTGCAGAATGACAATGGTGAGTTAGTGTTAAAAAATTATCAAAATACCTAGTCTATAGTGGGTTAACACTTGAGAGAAACACTACTGGTTTCCATAAAATTGGCAATTTTTGCAGGTCTAGAAAAAGCATGCTCACATGCAATTTTTTACACATACATACATTTTAATGTTTACATAACGCTACATTTTCTATATTTCCAGCATTTATTGATGCCTTCATCACGACGTTTCGCACCTTTATACAGCCGATCGATGTGATTGAAAAGCTAACCCATCGCTATACAATATTCTTCTGTTGCCAAAACGATCACAAGCAACGCGTTGCCCGTGAGACATTCTCATTACTAATGAGAGTAGTAGATGGCTTAACGTAAGTAAAATTATAAATATTTTTTTTTAATAAAACCTAGTTTTTCCTAATTTACTTGTTTTTATACATTAGGTCAATGGACCTGACGGATCAGCTCTTGGCTCTCATAGTCGAATTTAATTATCAGCTGGTATGTGCCGGCCAATTGTATTTGGCAAAAACGTTGCGCAGCATATTTGTAGAGAAGGTAAAAACAACTCAATCACAAATTATACATTTACCACTAATAATTGCCGTAATTCGTAGGTGACGTTATTCCGGGAACAACGTTTGCCACCACCTAAAGCCGATATGCATATCACCGTCACCAATCAGCCCAGCCTACTCGATCTCAAATCGGTAGAGATTGCCGAACAAATGACACTACTCGATGCCGATCTATTTCAGAAGATCGAAATACCCGAAGTATTGCTCTTTGCCAAAGAACAGAGTGAAGAGCGTTCGCCCAATTTGAATAAGTTTACCGAACACTTTAATAATATGTCATTTTGGGCACGTTCGAAAATTCTCACATTAGGCGATGCCAAAGAACGTGAAAAACATGTTATTAAATTCATAAAAATTATGAAATATTTGCGAAAAATGAATAACTATAATTCGTATTTGGCTTTATTATCAGCACTCGATTCGGCGCCCATCCGGCGGTAAGTTATCTTTACTAGCTGCTAGATGTTACCATTATATTTTCGGCTAATTTAATCGCTGCTTCTTTTTCTTCAATTAGACTGGAGTGGCCCAAGACTATAACGCAAGACATTAAGGAATATTGCCTGCTGATCGATTCTAGCTCCAGTTTTCGAGCATATCGCACTACTTTAGCTGCAACAAGTCCACCCTGTATTCCGTATATGTAAGTATAAAAGCATTCATATTGATTTAAACACTTTTAGCAATAGAGAAAAAAATTATATGGAAATTGCACTGGTCAGTGGATAGTAGTGTAGAAAACACTGCTGTAAAATTAGATAGGAGTTTTAAAAACATTTTTTATTTATTTATTTTTTAACATTAATTAAAAAATTTTAATACCAAATATCTGATTGAAAAAAATAATAATTTTAATCTCTGAAAGTACGCAATGCAAACTTTTCTTTCAAGTTTTTTTCGAATCTTTTTTATAAGGGATTAAAATGTTATTTTTTGATTTTTTAAAGCAATGCTGTCTTTGCGGTAAAAAAATGTAAATTTATGCTTTTAATGGATCGTTCACCAACTAATTTTATTTTTAGTGCAATTTAAACACAATTTTGTTTTATTGTGTAAAACATTTTATGAAATTATATATTCTGCAATTTGATCCACTACCTTTTATAATCTTTTCGGCAAAATATTGATTCTTCGCTCATAAACATTGCAGACAAAAAACTGGTTCAAATAGTTTTTGATGTCCTGAGGTAAGAATTCTTCCATACAAAAAAATGAGATCGGAACAAGTAAAAGTTCGAAGGTGCTATGTCTGGAGAAAATGTTGGGTGTGGTAGCACAAGCTGCAATATCCTGGTTTAAAACTACACTTTTTTTTATTGATCAATTCTGACCTCTTCAGCTTGACTGCCTCACTCAATTTATTCAGATGATCACAATATACTTCAGAATTATTTGAAAAAGAGCGAAAAGTTGAAATTAAACAATCCCTTTGAAATACTATCAAACATACAACATAACCTTTGTTTGGGAGACAATCGCCCATTAATCTAGTTTGGGCTGGCTAATCCTTTTTAGGTCATGATCTCCTGCGCTTTGCATTTCACTTTTCGTCGCTTCAAAAATGGATTACGCTTAATAAGCAAATTAAAGTCATTCTTTAAGCACATGGGGATCCCTTATGTCAGGCTTCGAAATCCTACACATTTCATGTGCTAGCGAACAGTCGCATTAAACAAATTTAATCTTTCTGCAATTTATCGAGTTGTTATTCGACGTTTTGCATCGACCAAAAACTTTATTTTATCCACTTGGGCTTCAAAAGTCCTTCAAGGATGTGATCCTAGATTCCCCAAAATCGGAATTTCCGACACGAAGTTTTACAAATCAATGCGTTCGGTCAACACGCCTTCTCCGTGACATAAGATTTCTCTTGCTAGAACTCCATTTTTACCCTTTTGATAGTAAAATGTGCAGAAAATGCTGTTTTCGATATTCCATCTTTGATAGGGCTCCAAACAAAAACTATTCCAAAAGGTTTAAGATATGTTTTTAATAAAAAAATAATTTAATAAAAAATAATATATAACGGTAAAGCGGTTAAGTGTGAAGTTAGCTGTGAAAAAATTCAACAAGGTCAGCTGTTGTGATCAATGAAAATTACTTAGTGAACGACCCAATACTTAAAATATAAAAAAAAAATTGTTTTAGATTTAAAAGTTTTTCGCGTTTTACGCACTTCAAGTTCCAATTAAAAATCTAATTTTTAATTCCAAAATTGGATTTAAAAAAAAAATTCGTAAACCTGGATTTATAATTTTTCTTTGTTTTTTGAACAATAATGTAATGTAATAACTAAATAAATATTTTTTATTTTTTACCAAACAGTGGTCTAGTCCTGCAAGACTTAACATTCGTGCATGTTGGTAATCCAGATTATTTAAAGGAAGGCGTCGTCAACTTCTCCAAACGTTGGCAGCAATATCATCTAATAGAGAATATGAAGCGCTTCAAAAAATGGTTTGTAACAGAATTTTATAGCTTAAACTTTGTTTAACCTTTTTTCCTTTATACAGTGAGTACAACTTCCGCCGCAATGAGCGCATTATACGTTTCTTCGATAACTTTGAATATGAACTGGGTGAGGAAGAGATGTGGCAAATATCGGAGAGCATAAAACCACGTGGCCGACGACCTGTACAAGCATAAAATGTTTGCGCGACGGAAACCGTACATTCACATATCCTGAAGGAATACTCAATTATCAACAAAGAACTAAAAATATTAAAACAAAAATGAAATGTGCACGCAATGTAATATAATTACTTATGTATCTGGAAACTATATTCTTCAGTGCTGGCAGAAAGACAGCATTATATGAGTGTAAAAGCAGCAAAGGAGAAAAATAAGCATAAAACACAGCTATTAAATAGTAATATATATACATAACAATGCACAGTTATATTGGATGCACACTTGCTTTCATCATATATATATATATATATATAAGCATAGTGATAATCACCGCAACGCGCACTCATTTGAAAGCACATTTTATGCCGACATTAGCAAAAATTATAATGTTATGCAAACCAAACAAAATTGCACATAAGTTCAATATGAAAAGTAGTAAATTGCTTTAAATTAACAGAAGCTTATGAAAAATTTAGAAGCAAAAAAAAAATCAACTCAAATGTTGTAGAGCAACCAAATACCAAACCAAACTCAACTTGCACCGACACAAACACAACGAAATTTTATTATATTATATTATATGTATTGCATGTTTTTGTACACCTTATTAGTTTTCAAATATGTGAAAGAATTTAACTGTCTCTCTTTAACAGTGATGAGCAGTCGATAAGAACGCCGTGTTTCATATAACAAGCAATCAAGTTATTTGTTTTTATACATTCATGTAAAGTAACAATAAATCAACGATAAATTCATAAACCGTCAATATGTGTGTGAGAAGAGTTGTCGAAACGAGCGCTTAGCGTAACAAAAACGAATGAACTTTAAAAGTAACAAAAAAATGTTTTTAAGCCTTGTGCGACTTGAATCTTTTGAAAAATATTTTTTTATCATTAGAAAGCAGTGTTAGTGTGCTAGCAAGGTGTTAGTTTGCTAGCAGCCTATTTTCGCACAATTATCTCAACAAAATGGGTTTGCATATGCTTTTAAATGCTACTATGAGTTGTTTCCATTTCAAAAATAGAAAAATATTGCAGTTTGCATTAGGAGCATTTATAAATATAAATTGTCTGGTTTTTTATCAGCTAAAAATTATAAAGTTAATGCGAAAGCAGTGTATCCCATTAACATTTCTAGAAAAAATATTATTTCTCAAAAACATTTATAAATCCCATTTCAATTTCCATAATATTGATTATTTATCAAAAACAAAAAAAAAATCTATTTTACTGCTTGCTGTTTCTGTTACTGATTTGTTATATAAAACAGTTTCAAAATTGTAATTTTCCTTACTACGTAGAAATGTGTAAACAATCATTTTATACACTGATAATATATTGAAAAAGTAATTTTATGGTTATCAACTATTCTATACTTTGTAAATAATTACCTTACTTGCATAAATATCTTATACATACTAGCAATATGTATTAATAAGATTAAGTTAGTGCAGGCAATGTTGTAAATATAGATTGTTACTTCTTTCTTCAACTACAAAATTGAAAAAAAAACTATGAGAGTTTAAACATTTTTCAATTCTTATTTAAACTTTTTGGCGCATAAATGCGAACGAGATTATAAAATTATTTTTATAACCTTAAAGTTGAAATTTACTTCACTCTTGGGCAACATGTTAAAGTAATGGCATATTTTTAAATGAAAAACTCAATATTCAAATAACTGTTGGTTTTAATATAGAGTATACTAGTTATGCATTTTTTCATAATTCAGATATATACTTGTTTTTTTTTTTTTTGTTTTTTTTTTTTATTCAAAAATTGATTCCACAAACTATGAAGCTGAAATTTTACTATTAGTCTGTTCACATAACCTCTATGCTCCGTGAACACCCGATGTATGGTTACTTGCTTAGTTTTACACAAATAGCTGTTTATTGTTTACAATTTTAGTTCAATGAACTTCCTACTTTTAAGATGCCTAAACAAAGTTTAAAAATCAAAATAATCTAATTTAAAATTTTTTTTGTGCGCCCAGGAATTTAAAATAGTCCAAAAATTATCTGCATCCACAAGCACTGCTAAAACTATGCTACACACTAAACTAAATGAATATAAAGAAGACTGTCTTAGGGTATAAAATAAATAATTGCATTGCAACGTACTGGGCGAGGATCCGGATCCGTTATGCTTTGCAGTGGTCAAAAGGAAATATGGTGCAGCGTATGATGTAATCACTGCTAGCTATATTACAAAGTTGGTATTGGTATTATACATTTGTTTATGAAATGAGTAGTAGAAAAGCTGAAGAGTTTGCTTTTTATAGAAAGCAAAACGTACATTTATACACATATATACAACAAAAAAATAAATTCAAAAACACTGATAAAATGCATTTGTATAATTTTTAGGTCATATCTATACGATGCAATAGAAGTGCTGCTATCGTTTGTAAAAATACAACACTTTAAATTATGTAAAATGATAACGATATTTAGTTGCAAGATATATTTTGTATAATAATTTCACACATAACTATTTATAAATAAGAAATATCTAAATAAGCAAAACATCTACTCTATAAATATGTAGCTATGCATGTAACAAATGAATAATATATGGTTCGGCAAATCGGAACTTTTTTTGTTTCAAACATGCTATGATAGCCACAATCCGTTTTCATGCATTTATTTCTTCATTCATGTTCATATACTTTTTCTTAAACTATCTCTCTGAACTAATTCTTGTAAAAAAGCTTATGTGCCTAATATAGTATATAAAAAATCGTATCTATATGTATTTTTAATTCTACACAACTAATTATAAACTTCGTGCATTAATTCAAATCTTCTTCTCTATTTTTTATTGTTAATTTAAAACAAAAATTACAATTTTTTTCTATTTTATCATTTTTTCAAATGAGCTTATAAGAAATTGTCATGTGAAATATCTCCTTCATTCGGTATATTTTATTGTAGTGCAATTTCTATTAACATTTAAGCTAAAAAAATCATATAACAAAAGGTATATGTATAAGTAAATGTCAAAGAATAGCATATGTATTAGCAACTACTCATGAAACATACAAATAATGTATCATGTATAACATTGCAGTGATACACATTAATGTTTGTAATTATAAATTAAGTATGAATTAATTTTATCTGAATAATATTAAACAAGTAAAACTGAAATTAACTATAAAAAACTATTTATGAAATTACTTTACAAAATAAATGTATGTACACATATTTTCCTTCGAAAGCGTTGTTTTACTACAATTTATCCTTTGAAAAAAATATAAAATTGTTGACGTCGGCTGCACCGAAGCTATAATACTAATCACAGGGGTATTTCTTATAGCGTAAGAGAATAAAAATGATCTTTATCACACTGCAGATAAAGATCGGTCAGTTTATATGGCAGCTGTATGCGATAGTGTACCGACCTTAATAATATGTTTGGACAAAAATCCATGGCAAAAATCGTGAAGATATCTCGACAAGTATAAAAGTTTTCCGCGCAAGAACGTACATTTTATAAGGCAGTTACATGCAATAGTGTTCAGTTATCGGCAGTTCCGAAAAATAAACAGCTTTTGAGGTGGAAAGAACAAAAGCAACATTTAAGATCGATATCTCAAAAACGACATGGCTCGTTACGCTGATTGCTTATATTTATATTTTAAAGGGTCTTTTGTTTTCCTCTGTGTGTTACAATCTTCGTGGCAAACTTAATATAATCTTTTCATAGTGTAAAAAAGGGAATAAACATTAAATAGGCTTATTAATATTTACCAGACAAATAGTTCTAAACAAGTTCCAATAACAGTAACCGGAAAGGACCTGTGGTTTATCTAAGGCTTAGATGATTTTCACCAAGTTAACGCTGTGAGACATGTCGTATGCTTTTATGGCAAAAAATCATGTTTTTTTTATTAATATTTTGTTTGAAGCACAATAACCATCTTAGTGTAGTTAAATATACTGCTTTCCTATAATTTGATCTTTGCGGTCAAAAATGTTTCCACCATATTTTTAAAAGTTTAATACTATGTTCTGTTCTACCACTTGATCTTCTTATTCAACACTGAATTGCCTTTTGCAACACTATTTTTGTGCAACTCTGTTGTTACCGGACGATAACACTTGATACAGTTGTTAATTATATGTTAGCCTATAACTTGTAAGTCATACAATTTACACTCAAGAGAAAGAAAGAGTATTACTTCGAACGATTTTAAAAATTTTTAAAGCCAAATTCATTTTGATTATTAGGAATGAAAGAATGGATGAATTTGCCATCTTTCGATTTATTGCAAACGGTATATTATGATATGGCAGCTCTACTTTTATTTCACGAAAAGTGCTTGAGCGAAAACGAAATCGACGAAACTGCTGAGAAACGATTCGATTAGTCGCTCGAAGAAAGTCGGAAGAAGGAAAAGTGTTTTTAAATATAGCTGCAGTAAAATTTAAAAATTTTGGGTGCATTTCCTCTCAGATTGCACTATTTCAATCGACCTGAACAAAGGATTCGCCGCAGAAACGCAAGCAGGCAAAAAACCCTGAAAACATTTCAAGTGCATCGCGATAAGTGACGGTAATTTTCTTCGAAAATAATAGCCCATATACATATTAGTTACCGGCGTAGTGTGTGTGTGCTGAATTTTGAAAAAGGAAAGAAATCAGTGGAGTGAATGAAAATATTATTTCCTACATTTCTGTCCGAATTTATATGAAAATTAAAAAACAATTGCATTCAAGTGTTTGTATTGTGTGCAGCAGAGGCAAAAATATATCCAACAACAAGCTGGGTTGAAGCTTTAAACAAAAGCGGTGAATATCCTTATAATATTCTTTGTGTAGTAAAGTGTTTTTGTTTTTGTATGCAGCTAGGTGGGATATACCTATTTATTTAAGAGATTAGATTATGGGCGGCAGCTTCCTCGTAGAAATTTTATGCCGCCTAATACCGGCTTTGGATTTAGCGTTGCTTTGTTTGCGTCTGCACATAAAAGGGTGTGTGCTCTTTCCAATGGAAAGTTTGGCGAAGGCGACGTCAGCGGCTGTTATATATATGGTTATATTGACAAGAACTATGCAGACGACGTTTGCGCGAACTCCAAACCAGCAACAACAAAGGTTTATTTCGTTTGCGAAAAGCCAAAAAAAGATAAGAGAAAAACCAGAAGAGCGCATAAAATTCTCGAAGCTGATCGGGTAACAGAGAGCATAATACTCTGTATGTATTGCAGATTCGATTACTCCTTATAATTTTTTTTTGCTGTTAATTAAATATAATAATTTTGATTGAAATTATGTAGATCGGATCCAAAGCCATATAAAAAATCACAAACATTAATTGCTACAAAAACAGCGTGAGTAATGTCGAAATTAACTGGTAACATTCGACTGCGATAAGCGAACAATGTGTGTTTGTCACGTTGTCGACTCAAAGTTGTAATAACAACAATAAGCGGCCACAATCGCTGAACACAGCTAAACCATCAAAAACATTAACTTTTGTTTTTGTTCCGGTATTCAATGTTTTTAAGTGTCGCTTTGTTGAGCGGTTTGGTTGGGGTGGGAGGGTGAAACTATTGGGGCCAAATGAATGGCATATTAATTAGTTGTTATTCATTTTTGTATTCTAGGATATTACTTGCGACAAGTTTCAATCTTTTTTATATTTTATATAGTATATGATATTTAAAGCGCCTTATTTGTATGATTTTATGACAACATCCCAAAAGCGCGTCTATTAGTCATTGTTATGAATCATCAGTTGTGTTAGTTTTCAATAATTACTTGATAACATAATTATCACAGGCAGTGAAAATATCAGCACCACAGAATGCACACATTGCAGGATTAAGTACATGT